GCGACCGGCCTAGCATCTGCCCATGTGTTTGCTCTCCCTGGATCATGAGTGTAAACAACGGCATTTATTTATTTATTTTTCCTTACCAAATCTTTTCCAGTTTGTTCTAAGGACTCCTTCCACTTCAGATAAGATTTTCTAAAATGTCCAGCTGTTTCCCTTCCTTTTAAAGCTAGCGCACGACTATCCCTATCCTAGGCCATTTCCTTCTGCAATGGTTATTAGCCAGGATGGGCAGGGATGCAAAACCATGCCTAATTCTCTATGTATACGTTCTTTCTGTTTTCTAAACCACAGCTGAAGTCACTCTGGCATCAGTCAGCCTTTAGACACAGAGTAGACAAAACTGACCCCGTCAATCCAGAGGGCTAGCTTGTGCCTCTGGGCACAACTCAATTTAGAAGTAGTCCGGGAGGCGTTGGGACTCAGAAACGTGCCTCTGGGGCACAACTCCCTCCCCATTTTTCTCCGTGGGGATTAGGCTCCGTTCATTCCTTGTCTCGGCTGCATTCTCCCAGCTCACCTGCTCGGGTTGCAGAGGGCAAGCCAGCATGTGGGGATCGAGGAGGTGCTTGTATTTCCCCACGCAGGTGTGTAGTCACAACCTAGCCCAAAGTCGTGATCCAGCTCCCCCGGCAGTCATTGGAAAGGCTCCCTTTGCTCTATCCTCATTTCCATTTCTGCAATTCTTGATGGCAAAAGGAAGAAAAAAAAATCAGTCCCTTTCCCATTTCTCTAGATGGGACCTCCAGCCAGTGAGAGGGTGTGAAGAGTCAGGCCTGAGAACCCACAACCCCAGGTGGAGCCCGGATTACCAGACAGCAAGTTACCTTTGCTACTGTAAATTGGCAATCCCGATCTAGGTATCAGAGGTACGACAGCTTGCAACATGGGCAAAGGAATGGAGTCAAAGAGGCGAAACAGCCAAACAGCAGAGATAGGGCTGTGCTGCAGAGTTGGGATTTGGAGCTGGATCCAAACTTTCCCAAAGTCGAGGGTGGTTCAGACACAAGGTTTTTGATTTGGCCTGTTATAGAGACACTAGTGGCGGAGGTTGGATCTGGCTCCAAACTTGGCCAGAGTCCAAGGCTGTTCTAGGTCAGGGTTTGGCTAGCAACACATATCACACAGTCCTTCAGAACCGCTGTTCCCTACAGAGTTCTGTTCTGAGGGTTCTGCAGAAGCTGTACGGAGCCAATGAAATGAACTAAGTGCACTTTCCAAGGTTACTTTGTTTCTTAAGCAGAGGTGGGGAAACACCTTTCCTGCTCTCCTTTCCTTGCTGGCCTGTGGTGCAAAGAAACGATGTCCTCACCACCTTAATCACAGGTGGTTTGCGCCCTACCCCACTGCACGTCTCAACGGGCATCCTCCTTCTAATCGGCTGAGTCACACCCCTGCCTCCACAGGCCACAGTTGGGTCAATGTCTGCTGGTGTGTCTGCTGAGGAAAAAGAGCCATTTTGGTCTCCGTGGCCATGCGTTTGCTGGGTCCCCTTCTGGGCACTGAGTTTTTACGTATGACGTGCACGCATGTGTATCTAGATCACAGCATCTACCACGCCTGTTGCACTGGTGTCAGTGGGACCTTGGTAGCAATCCATCCGCAGTCTCTTTCTCTGCAGAAGTACTAAATGTGTCACTGCGTCCTATGTCAAATCTGGCAGAAACCACTATGTTAAAAAGTTCATGCTAAGAGCTCGTCCATTCTACAGCACTAAGGAATGTTTGCAGAATTCCCCTGTTCCCGGAAGAAGTGGAAGAAAAGTTTGTTTGTTTTTTTAATGAATTGAATGTTTTATTTTATTTTAATTTTTTGCCATTCATGTTGCACACAGACTCTGGTTGCTGGGGCTTGGAAAGGATCTCAGCACGCTGAGAGCTGCTGTCTGACATCACCTCTTCCTATTGGGTTGGGAACAGAAGGTGTTTAGGAAGTTGCAAGTCTTTCAAAGGACACTTAATAGCATGAGTCTCTTCAGGTTAGTTGAGAGAAGAGCAAAGAGTCATTGCCCCTGCTAACAATCTTCTCCGCAGTTCTGTTCTGTTGGGTAGTTAAAGAAATCACAGCCTCCTAACCGGTGCATAATCTTTTTGTATGGAGTTCCATGTTTGTAATGTTAGCCTCCAGATGCATCTTGGGACGACCAAGAAGTCATTAGATCTATTCTATCCAGCCAGTTTTAGCCTTTTTTATTTTTCTTTTACTATAAAAAAAAGGTAGATCTTTCCCATCTACGCAACCTCAGAAGAAGCAGGCTCAAATCCATTTCTCCGCACGGAGCCTGTCCAGGGAACTCCTGCTTTACTTGCACGTGTGAACGTCGTAGACTCGTATGCACTCCTGGCAGCTGACGTAGCAGCACCAGTGGAAGATACAGTGGCACTTCTCTTTCCGTTTCTCAGTCCTTGTGTTGTGCCCGCGGCCGCAGCACAGAAGGTCGCATCCGTCGATCCCATGGGAGGTGACGTTGCAGATCCGGTCGCGGGTCCCAAAGGAGCCCGTCTCGGGGTTCGGCTCACAAAAGTTTGGTGAGTTCTCATAGTAAACCAGGTCTCTCTCAGTTGGGGCCTTGAAGAAGTTGTACTTGGGCCTGAGTGTCTCGACCCAGCCACGGGACTCCCGATGCTTCTCCACCACCATTTCAGAAGCGCTGTCGTATTTGTCCTTGAGATAGTCACCGATGACCCTGAAGTCTGGCTGGGACCACCAGCATGTCTTCACCTCACAGCTGCCTGACAGACCATGACATTTGCACTTCAGATGCATGTGATCAATAATGGACTAGAAAAGAGAGAAAAAAGGGAGAGGGAAACTATTAGCCCATAATATGAATCAAAAATACATTCTGTTATTTACCTAGCACTTCTCATCCCAAAGAATGCCAGGCAGAGTTCCTCAGCTGGTGTAAACCAGTTTAGCTTCATTAACTACAATGATATACACCAGTCAGGGATTGGATGTGGTCTGCATAAAGTGCTTTCAATCATGAGTGAAGTCATTCCTGTACCTGTGTGTGTAAATATTTCTATAGCTATATTCACACACAAAGACCACTTTGCTCAGGAGTGAAATGCAGCCACCTCTGAGGTGCAATACTGCAGCTTTTTAATGGCACTTAGCCAAGTTAAACGATACTTTGGGACAGGGAATGAAGAAGGATTCATAAGCCGATTTAAACTGCAGGGAGAATTCACGGGTGAAATGTGCTATGATTATCCAAACTACAATTTAGCCCGGTCATCAGAGCTCCCTTTTCTTGCAAAAGAGACTCGAGTCAAGGAGGAGAGTGTCACCCACTGAATCACCAATGCCATTTCCTGCTGCACCCTAGGATTTTCTTCACCGGCCTCTCAACAGTGTGTTGAGCAGGTCACACCTTAACAGCTGAGAGCACAGCTCACAGTCTTGCCAACTCTTGCAATTTTATCACGTTGGTAGTTGGTGTTTTCCTTAAAGCCCCAGCTCCTGGAGGCATGTGAATAGGTGAGGATCTAAAACAAAAAGTAAGTTTCTAGCCTCCTCCGCTCCCTAGGTTGCTAAAGGTGCAGAAACCAGTAGGTAAATAAAAAGAACACAAAATGTATGATTATTTTTTAAGCCAGTCTCATGATTTGAGAAGCCTGACTCTTGAGTTTTTTGAAGGCTCGGTGTTGGCCATGCTGCATCTACGGGCGGCATGGTTACCAGATGGAGCGGGTGAAATTCAGTCCTGGCCTAAATGGAAGAAATCACCATTGACTTCAATGAGACTTATGCTTGCCTCACCCATGGCTGAAATTGATCCAAAGATTTCCACAGCACTGCTCACCAGCTGATACAATTTACTCAATAAGCTGTGTTATTCAGAGCTGATCAGCAAATTTCTGAATGCATGAACAGACTAGTACCAAGCTAAGTCCAAAAGATTTGCCATGAATCAGCAACGACACTGTGCGCTCAACGTTTTTTGGGTGGGTTTTTTTTGGCCAGGTAGGC